TAAATGAATTTTTCTTTCTTTCTTTTTTTTTTCGCAGAACTGGGGATTGAACGCAGGTCCTTGAGCTTGCCAGGCAAGCACTTATTCTACTGAGCTATCTCCCTGGCCCCTATATGTCCTGATTTCTAACTCCATAGCAGCTACCACGTGAACAAGGATTGCTTCCACCTGCTGTAACGTGCCTTCACACAAACATGCTCTGAAATATTCTGCAGTTTATTTGGTTTCATCTTTTATAACTGATATTTTTATCAGAGTCAGGACATTTTGGCACAAGATGCAGTGACTAACAATTATAATAATGATAAGATAGGTACAGAAAATAATGCCACCCCACTAAGATGGGGCTCCTGGAAGCGCACTATGTGCACTGTCATATGGCTTCTCAAAACTGCACAGAGAAGCAAAGCTTTCTACTCCCGCTCTCCAGCCAAAGCTAGGGCTCAGGCTCAAAGAAACTCACCAAGGAAGTGGCAGAGTGGCTCCAGGAGCTGAAATGGTGGTTTGGCCCAATGTAGGGCCCCTGAACCCTTCGTCAGTCTCACTGAAAATTTCCAAGCCCTTGGTTCCAAACCTGGGGGACAGCCCAACCCCATGATAACACTCGCCATTTCCCACAACTCGCTCACCCCAGGGCCACTCAGCTGACCAAGAGAATAGTGGACGAGAATTGCCAGAAAAGTCCTGGCCCCAAAGCCACCTTCTGTGCCACAGTTTGTCGGTGCATTGCAAGCTGTTTAGTTTCTGCGTGGCAGTAAGTGGACCCTTACATCCTACTAACCATCTTTGGGTCAATGGACTTGAGTGGTGCAGAAGAGACCGAGAACAGAGGCTGGACCAGACCTGACAGTTCTCAGATCACGTAGTAATGATCATGTTTTAAAACAGCATCAATATTCCTGAAAGAAAGTGCAAAGCTTTATAAATGTCTGACCAGACCCCAGAACTGCAGTGACGGCCCCCTGGTGCTGGGGCAGCCATGCTGGGAAGGCCCCTCGCCCGCCCTTGCCTGGACGCAGTGAGTCCGTGGATTCCCAAAGCCTAAACAGACTTGACACGGTCCTCCAAGTATAATCTCATTTCAGGGCTTATATGGGAGTTCATAGAGATACGCCATGCCTAAAGTTAGCATCAGGAAGTAGTTTTGTATTTTCTCAACATTCCTGTGTTCAGATTGAAATTTCTCATGTATCGTAGACTCAGTAACAGTTGTTGGAGAGGAAGATAAGAGTCCAATTGTTTGAAGAAATGCAATATATGGTAATATACAGAGGCTGGCAGTAGTTAATGAAAATTGGAGTCAGCATTCTAATTCTAGTTATAAAAATAATTTAAGGGCCAGGGAGATGGCTCAGTAGAACAAGCACTTTCCTGGCAAGCACAAGGGCCTGAGTTCAATCCCTGGTTCTACAAAAAGAAAATAAATAAATAAAAATAATGATAATAATAATTTAAGAAAAAATATTATAAGAAATGAACATTATAACTAAAAGTAGTTACAATCCTTACCTAAATTTTTAATTTTTTTATGTATTTGGTGCAGGGTCTCACTATACAGCTCAGACTCATAGTGATCCTCCTGTTTTCAGCCTCCCAGCACTGGGATTACAGGCGTGTGTCACCACACCCAGTCTCTGTGGCCAGCTTGGCACCCCCTGGGGCAGGGCTAGCATGGCATGTGGTGCTGGGGATTATCTAAATGTTTTGGATAATAAAATATTCTCATGAGCAGAGATGCCATCCATATACACTATATATGAATTTCCAGCTTTGAAATTTTCTAAGTATTATAACTCCACTGGGTTCATTTTTCTTGTCCCACCACAAGGGCGTGTGGCTCTGTAGACCTAGGGTCGCCATGCCACATAGCACACAGTAGGAAATTCCTCAGAGGAAAGCGTTAGTTACTCAGCTTTGTGCTTATCTGAACTACAAAGAAGCTGGCAGCAGACGCCATCTGCCTTCCCTTCCTGAGGCCATGTGGTGCGGGGCCAGGCACCAGGCTGACATGGCTGGCTCTGTGATAACTCTTGGCCTCTGTGTCTTTTCTACCATCTTGGATGCACCAGTTCTGTGGAAACAGATCATCCAGCGCAAAGGAGGGACCCTCACAAAAGCCTTGAACATCAGCTGCCTGGCCAAGGTCACCGATGGCTTCACCCAGGGACACATAGTGGAAGTGGTCAAGGACGTGCTCACGGAGCGGCGCATCCGGCAGCAATTTCGCAAGCCACTCACCGCCGGGGAGTTCATCACAGCCATCACCAGCATGAGCCCAGTGTACAAAGAGGAGGAAGACTGCTTCAAGGTAAACCATTCACCCTGACAGCTAGGTCGGCAACAGACCTGTGGCACACACCCACAGCGTATTCCCAAGGCGTAGCAGGTTTAAGCACAGCCACATGTAGTAAATTTGAGGAACTTGACATCTTTGGATCCCAAACATCTTTTTTTTTTTTTTTTTTGTGGCCAGCTTCACCTGCTCTAGGGGGCGGGGCTGGCAGGGCATGTAGTGCCAGGGACAGAACCACGGTCTCTATGGTTGCCTAAGCCTTCCTAAGCAGGCACTTCAGACCACGGAGCTATCTAGCCAGTCCCCCAAAATTTTTTGAGGGCTGGGGGTGTGGCTTGGTGATACAGGACCTGCGTAGCATGCAAGCGGCCCTGGGCTCCATCCCCATCGTGCAAAGGGAAATCTTTTGAGCTGTAGCAGTACAGCATGTTTTTCAAATTTTAGGAAAACCTGTGTCCCTACAAATTAGCAACCAAATAGCAGAGCTGAGTAGCAATTTCAGAGCCATAACTTCTCCCTCCCTCCCTCTGGTAATTTGCATAGGGAAAACTATCCCTTACAGAGTATATTTCAAGCTCATGTGTTTTCTCACATATTTTACATAGTATGTTTCATTTCTCAGTTCTGTGTGAACATGCAGTAGGAACTACTATATGTCTCTTGTAGAGAATTCAGCAAAATTTAGTTTTCCAGTGTTTGAGCACCGCTTGACATGCTCACAGGATTTATTAATCTCAGAGGAAATGTTGAGACCACTCTTCTAGCTGCCCCCTTCAGTGGAGGATGTGGTGTTGCTGAGAGTTCCATGCTTTGTCCCCTCATGGAGCCTGCCCCGGGCATGGGAAGGGCACAGCACAGCCCCTGACGCCCACAGCAGGCACTGCTTAAACTCTATTTGTCCTCTCCTTTAAGTCAGAATAAACATAGTGTTGCTTTCTGTACCTAAGGTAGTTTTCTTCCCCAACTGGGAAAGAAAAGGAAAAAATAACACCCATCCCATCGCAGGTCGCTGCAGCACTGTCACACTCTCTGCAGGAGGATTGAATCTGTCACTGAAGCCTCTCACTTCTGGGGAGCTGGTTAAGATTGGGACAGTTTCCCACTAAGGTGTATAAGGTGTGAGAACTACAGCAAAAGTTTAAATTTTTATTGCAGTAAAAGACACGGAGCCACAAACCCCTCTCAGAATATTCGTTCTCAACCAGGGAGCTAGTTTAGTGGCCCAAGTGCCTGCCTGACAAGTGCAAGATCTTGAGTTCAATTCCTGGTACCAAAAAAAAAGAAAATATAGAAAAATAATATATTCACTCTTACTTTTAACATCAATTCCCTTCATCCTGCCACTTTCAGAGCCATTTCTGAAAGTCCCCTTTGGTTGTGCTGTCATGGCTGTCTCGGTGTTCGGAATCAGTTCAAAGCATTGGCCTTCCGTGGTCATTTTGACTTTGAAGAAGTGCTGGAAGTTCCAAAAACTCAGATCTGGTGAGGAAGATGGACAAGGCACGCAACATGCTTCTCTGAGCCCGCCATCCCGTCAGAAGGCACGCAGCGACAGACCCATATGTCTAATCACGTATTGCAGACACGCATGAAAAAAGAAACACTCCAGAAAGTGGCCAGAACCCTGGAATAAGTGTCCTGGAAGCAAGGAGTAGCTTTCTGAGGGGGATTTATGACATGACTCTTACTGTAATGATTTCTAAATCTGAAATACTCACTGTGTGTTTTGATCGCACCCATATCACTTTTTGACCAAGTTTAAAAATCCTATTTCTTTCTTTCCTGACTTCCCCCAATACTCCCCCGGAAAATGGGGCCTAGTCAAGTTGCTGGCCTCAGCAGCACCAGTGCAGCAGGAGCGGATGGACGCTGTCTGCAAAGCTTCCCTCCAACACGGCAAGAGGCCGCAGCACCTGTGCCAGCAGCTCACTCTGTAGCCTGGCACTAAGGTGCACTTATGCACCATGCGAGCAAGTGGGCACACCTGGCTCCCAATAAAGCTCTGTTTGCAAAGACAGAAAAATGGACCCTGTTCAACCCTAGCTCCCCTAGCTCTGGGCAAACTGGAAAAAAAAAAATCAGTCCTAGCCAGGTGTCTGTCAAGCACTTGAATTAATGTTCTGTTATTTTAACTGTTTAAATTTTGTTCCTATATTAATCACTAATATTCAACCTCTTCAAATTTTTTATTGTATTCTGAAATTCTCTGAGTTTTTTTTCAATCTGATTTTCCTCCTTACCCTGAGAAGTTGGGCTAAAGACATTAAAACCTGAAGCTGGGTTTGTGACTTTCATAAGCAATCGATCGCTAAGCATTTTCTGTCTGTGGTGGTGTTTGAAGATGACTCTACCATTCATGAAAGAGAAAAATTACATCTTCTCAGCTGAGATGTGAAGGCAAGTGCTTCCATATTCAATAACTTGCCTTATTTTTAAGGACGCCAAATCATTTCCCCTCGATTACTCTCAATTACGCTCTTCACCCCATCCATGTCTGCTTCCGTCGTGGCACCAGCACTGGCCTCTGCCTGGTCCTAAGCAGACTTTCAATACACTTGTTGAGGAACACATTGATCAGGCAGATGGCGAGGTGGCCAATATTGTCATATTGTGGCACATATGGCGCCATGGCTGTAGTTGCTTATAGTTGGGGCCCCACATCTGCCCTGGCAAACTTTACTAATTGTGCTTCTGAAGTTGTATCAGACTAAGACTGTGCAGATTTTCCAAACACTCTCTACCCTGCTCCATGAAGCTGATGGAAAAAAAAATGCTTAGTGATAATAATAATGTTGACCTGATCACAGATGTCATCTAGTACTTATTGGCAGCTTGTTGTGTTCCAGGCACTGTATTAGCCCACTTAGACCACACAGCTCCTTGTTTGCAAGTGAGAGCTGAGCTACATAGAGGGGTTGTCAGGCAAGGGAGTAGTCTCCCAAAGACATGTACATCCCTGTCCCTACAGCCCATAAATTTCATCTTCAATAGCAAAGGGAAGAGGGAGTTTGTGAGTTATGATCCATGCCTGTACCTTGCACCTCAAGGTCCCAGGTCCACACCATCTCCCAGGTACCAGAATCTGCCTTAGGTTTTGGAATTTTAAAACATTCCACAAAATGGTTTTGTATAACTAAAACTCCTGACATCACATCAGAAGCAAGAGTAACTGACGGCAACTTATGGAAATCAAGAAATTTTCAAATCCTATGGGAAATGCTAGCATTTCTAGAGGCAAAGTCATAATAATAAAAAATGTGACTCACAAGGAAGCAGTCTACCACGAGGAGAATCCACAGTTACAGTTAGTAGAATGAGCACTACCAAGGACCTGAGATAATAGAGCATTCTGGAAGGGACTACATATTCACTCTAAGTTATTAAAAACCAGAAGCAGGGCTGTGGAGATAGCTCGGTGGTCTAAGCACCTGTATGGGAAGCACAAGGACCTGGGTTCAATCTCTGGTACTGCTTGCTGCGCCGGCCCCACCCCTGGGCACACTGAGCTGACCACCAAGACCAGGCGTAGTAGTGCACACCTGTAATCCCAGTGCTGGGGAGGCTGAGGCCAGAGGATCGCTCTGAGTCTGAGCTGTGTAGTGAGACCCTGTACCATATAAATAAATGAGAAAAAACCAGAAGCATTATGGGAGTTAAAACAGAAAAACTTGAAAAAGAACCAAAGAAACTTCTAATGATGAAAAGATATGTAGTGATTAAAATTAGAAACTCAGTGAGTAGGTTGTTATGGACTATACTGAGCTAAAGAGAAAACAAAGGAACTGCAAAGGGGAACCAGAACAAGGCCTGGAATGCAGCCTGGAGAAAGACAAAGAAGGAAAGCTGAGAAGAAACTCGGCAGTAGCCATGGAAGATAGTGACAGCCCCTCCTACGTTCCTGCTTGGACATCTGCTCCCCCAAGTCACCAAGGCACATTTGCCCCAAGCCATGGATGTCAGACTTCATGTGGTGTTTAGGTTTAGAAGACCTTCCAACAGTGACTGAGGATCTGTCAGGTGCGGACACAGAGACCAAAATAAAACTTCCCCCTCAAGGTGAATCTGAAAATCAAAATCACAAAACATTGCAGGAAGTTTACCTGATGAAAATGCTTAAGTGAAAATAACTAAGATGTTTATGAAAATGTGAATTCCACTAGAATATATATACAAAAAGTTTTGAAGCAAAGATGGGGAAAAATTGAATAAGAGATAATTATGGAAAAATCATGAAAAGAAACATACAAGTAAAAATATAGTGGTTTCATAAAATGATTTAAAAATAAGAGTTAGGGACTCTAGGCTACACTGGCTCAAAAAGCAAACTGGTGAGCACCAAGGTTACCCTAGAAATCCTCTCAGAAGGTAGCACAGATAAACAGAAAGATAAAATCTATTTTTAAAAAAACAAATTTAAGATCCATGAAGAGTAGATTTAGGCAGGCACTTATGTCACTGAGCTAACTCTCCAACCCTTCAAGAGTAGATTTAAAGACATTAACATCCAACTAATAGGAATTGTAGAAGAAAGTAATTCAAGAAATATCAGAACAACTTTTTGAACAAATAATATGCTGAGAATCTTCCTACATTAAGAGACATGAGTTCCCAAATTAAAAAATAAACTGCAAGCAGCCACCCAGGCAAACAGAAACGAGTCCATATCTGCTCCAAGAATCAGATTGCAAACAATGTTAACAGCTACTAGATAACTTGAAAGATTCAACAATCCTCTGATCAGGTGTCTCTTTGACAACAGTAGCTGTCAGAAGGTGAGTACAGCAGAGATTATATCTTTGAAGGGCTGAAAGGAAATAATTGTCTGCCTAATGTTTATACCCAGCTAAACTAATGTTTATACCCACGCTAAACTAATGTTTATATCCAGCTAAACTAACTCTAGCAGAAAGGACAAAGCAGACATTTCAAGACAAATGACTAAAATAGCTCACCACACATCAGAGAACAGTATGGCCATGTCAAGTTAAGTTGCATGTGCTCAGAACATGTGAGCAAGGAATCTAATTCACACACATGTGCTGCAGAGAAGTCCTCTCACATGTATACAAGGAGATGTGTGAACACTGTGAACCGAAGCCTCGTTCCCAATAACAAAAACTGAAAAACAGCCAATATGTCCACAGATGAGATTGGTAAATAATGTGGGATGTGGTCAATTAATGGAATGTTATTACTGGAAGGTGTGTAAATCACAATGTTTCTCAGAGTTCAGGTAAAATGCCATGGTGGGGCCAGTGTCAATCACAAAGTGAATTTTTGGTTCTTTGACTCCATTGTTCTGCCAGTCACACTTCTGGTGGCCATGTGTGAACTGGGGCATTGCCCAGAGAGTCCACGTTCCTGGGATGCAATAGCACACTAGGGAACCAGCACCCTGTGGCCAGAGTTGTTAGTTAAACTCAGTCTGTGGTTCCCAGAAATTGCTGACTTGTGGGGTAGAACTTCAAGTCATGTAGAAGCACAGGCTTGGAACCCAGTGTGAAGAGACTGTATTAAACTGGGTCAGAGAATGGCCAAAGCATAGTGGTCACTGGCCCCTTCCCCGCCAGCACGCTTGTCCTCACATTGAAGCATACTCCAGAGAATCCATGTCGTTCTAATTTTTGCCTAAACATCTGTTTTATTTCAGGACTGGTATGACAAGACTCCTCTGGGTAAAAGGAGAGCCTTGTCATTGACAGGCGGTGGCAAAGAGAAAGAGAAAGAAAAAGAGAAAGGGAAAGGGAAAAAGAAAGGCAAAAAGGAGAAAAAGAAAAAATAATGCCTTTCTGAGGAGCCATCACTCAGCCTCTTTAGGTTATTGATGTCCTGAGCCTCCAACAAAGAGAGTTACTTTTGCCCACTGCAGAAACTCCAACTGACCACCAACCACTGACCAAGAACCACTGACCACTGACCACCAGCCACTGACCCCCAACAGCTGCAGCTCAGGTCTTCTTCAGTGGGCAGACACCAAGCCAGGCACCTACAACAATTGCTTCTACCACATGTCATTGTTCCTTAGTTCACCTGCACTGTGCCTATCACTGAAATCACTCCTCCACACCTTTATCAGTACTAGGGTCAAATTTAAAAATCTGACAAAGAATATTCTCATTTAACAACTAGTAAGCTGGGAGTGTGTGGTGAGTTGTTTGCTAATCCATGCATGCTGTACATCATCTTGCACGTATTTTAGTAAATTACTTCTCTGCTCTAGTATTGTATTTTATATACTGGAATAAAGCTGTTATCCTTGAATGGTCTCCGTCGTTTGGCTGCTGAAACTGAATAAGATCCTAACGATGCTCTGTTGCAGTCTCCTGATTTGAAGACAAGTGTCACAGCAGGAGCTTTCAGCACATGGGCCCGAGGTCTTCGCCTGGTCTAGGGCTCTGCAGACCGCACAGATGCGGGTCAGCCAGTGACCCAGTGAAAGCACACCAGAAAAGCAGAAGTGCAGAGGTGAGAAAGCCGAAGTGAAAAATTAAAACTGGTGGAGGATAAAAATATTAAAGACTAAATGAGGACACAAAAGAATTTGCATTTTGTAAGAACATGAAAGTTATTTGGTAGAACCCAGAAGATAGCAAGTAACCCGCCTCTAAGCTGTGGTGAGGACACACAGGGTGGAAGAAGGAGGAAACAGAGATGGGACTGCTGCATTGGCCTGCTACACACACCCATGCGACAGCTTGGGGCACCTCTGCAGCGTGGTGCCCCAAGCAGCGTTGTTTGAAACACCCAAGGAGACACAGCATCCTGTAGACCCAACCTCGGCACATCCGCCTCCTGCCTTTAAGGAAAAGGCTGGTGCCAGTGACAACACAGAAAACGTTACTGGCCCAGGCATCTTAGGCAGGTTCTGCACACACCAGGAAGCGCAGCTGCTCCATGGCCAACCTGCGGCCCTGGCCCAAGAGCCCAGCTCTGCCTGCAGAGTCAGAGATGCCCACATCCTTAAGTAAGCCGTGCAGTATTTGCACAGAACCACACACACATCCCCCCATAGATACGTCCTCATGAGAGGACTTGTAACACCTACTACCATATATGAACCTCTGTAAACAGCTGTTCTGCTGTACTAGGAAGTGAGTAATGAAGGAACACAGTGGGGTGCTACACCCCGTTTCTAACCGTGGAGCTGGGAGATGCGTCAACCTTATGAGGAATTGACGCAGGGTGACCGCGGGGTGTGAGGGTGGAGTGACTGATGGGAAGAAGGGGATGCCCTGTTCTCTGGAGCTCTGCTGGGGCCTTAGCTATTCCTGGGCCATTACATGGCAATTAGCTGCTCTTGAGCATGTTCTTAAGTGAAGGGGACAGTAATTAATGTCATTAACCCTCATTAAGGGAGCATTCTATGGAATAGAATCTGATTAAAGTGGAGTCACCACTCTTGGGTGGCTCCACATCTCCTTGCACTTGGGAACAAGCCTGTCCTGGATCCCAGACCAACTGCCCGGTGCTGCAGTGCTCCTGGGAAATGTCCAGCACCTCCGGTCTTCCCAAACACCTCTGCTGGGAAACGCCAGGCTCAAAACGTCCTAGTCTCTGGTCTTTACTTTTGAGATTCTTCTCAGCACACCTCTACTGTGTTACCACGGTAGGTGCTTTTGGGGGCAGGGGAGTCACAAGGCTGCCTCTTAAAAGTCACTACTTTTAGCTACACATGATGAGGGCTAAATCGTTGAGATAAGTGGCTTCCAATATCCCTAAAAATCTTAAGATTTTAAAAGAGGCTGGAGTGGTGCTAATGAAAACAGAGAAAGCCGTGAAAGGTTGAGGACATGGAGCCGCACTGGCAGCAGCCCGGGTTGTGAGGTCTGTAGCCTCGTACGCATCTGCGGTACAGGCATCCACAGCCTCTGTCCTCAGAGTCACGGGGTCCCTGCGCAGTCTCCTCAATGGCTGGTTTCCCTTAGAGTTCCTGGCTGCAGCCTCGCTGACTGTCCTCTGCTTCTCTTGTCCATTCCCGAGCATCTTCTGTGAGCCAGGTGCAGCGCTGGGGCTGAGCTTGGCTGCAGCCTGGTGGCCAGGGAGATGTCCACAAATGATCAGGAGAGGCACATGCGAGGCCACAGCAGTGTGCTCCTGGGCGTGGTCCCTGGGCCAGGCTCACCACTGCCTGGCTTTATACCCACACAAACCCTTTCTGATGGGGACTGTGATGATGTGCTGGGCCTGAGTGACTTGCTAGCTCTTCCAAATGGCAGTGAACAGTGCCTCTAGCATTGCGCAAGACAGGGTCCCTGCCACACGGGATGCGGCCAGGACGAGTTTCGTGCCTTCCATGTGTCCAATAAGGATCCTTTTCATGCTGGGCTTTGGGGAGGATGTGGGAGCCAACGGGCCTGGGGAGGGCATGGCCTGGCTGCTACACATGGTTTTGCTACCCATAGAGTGTCACATTGCTCGGGGCAGCCCAGTTCTTCCACACAGCAAGCCCAGCGCCTCACTCATGCTGCTGGTCACTAGACTGTGCATCGCAGCCGCAGTCAGCTGTCAGTCCTAGTGGTGCAAGACAGGACACTCATCCTCCCAGCCCAGCTCCAGCCTTGGTGGCTCTGTACCTGTAGCATTGGGGGCAGGGGGCAGCTTTTGATATTTTGGGTGTTTTGCAATGCTGGGGACAAAACCTAGGGCCTTGTATGTGCTAGGCAAACACACTCTAGTGAAGCAGCTTGGGCAGGCAGGCATGTGGCCCTGGCCCACAGGGAGGTCTGACTCCAGCTTGGATGAGCAGTACACTTAGGACAGTGTCCAAGGCAGGCCCAGCAGCCTAGGTGCTCCTGGGAGCCCTCTGCAGCCAGAAGTGAAAGCACAGCAACAGTTGGAGGAAGCAGAAGGCAGCCCACAGCTCCCTGCCTCCTCAGGCCCAGCATGAACGTGCTGGGAGCAGCCCAAGGTCCTGGGAGCTCTGCAGGAGCTGTGGGCCCTGCTTCATACGGCCCCACCTCAAGCCCTTTCTTCCTGTAGGCTCACTTAGGGGTACAGTACACCTGCACACCACCTCCTGGCCCCCTTGATTCTGTCCCCATAGGCCTCAGCCTGTCCTCCCTCCCTGCCCCCCACCAGTGCTCTATAAAGAGGGTCACGGAGCCCCAGGAAGCACTCTGGGCTGGGGGACCCTGAGCCAGTCCAGCCACACACATGCAGGTATGCCGTATGCATCATGTGTAACAGACAGAACACATACTACCTGTGCACACAAGCAAATGTTGTGTGACATGTGTCAAAATAAATCCTTACCCACACATCTTCATGTGTACATACAATATACACAGACACACACGTGCACATAGCACTCACTACAGACATCTCCACAAACATGCCTGCGCTTACACATGCATGACACGGGGAACATGGACGCTCACATGTGCACAAACCCCAGACAAACACACAGAACCCCATAACTTCCTCAGCAGGCTGGGGTCAGGCAACTGTGGGCTCTCCCCCCCCCCCCGCGACCCTGAGCCTTGGGCCACAGCCATAGCCACAAATGTAGAAGATGCCCAGACAGGTTAGCTGTTTACTCTATAGGCTCCATGGAAACACCCTCTTCCTGTTCAGAGGGGCCCCTGCTGCAGGAGAGGCTGGTGACACCCTGGCTCCCAGCTGCACCTGAGACACCCAAGGAAGGGCCCGCTGCTGCTCCAAGGAAAGCACAGTGGGAGTGGCCAGGCCGGAAGTGCCCTCACCTACCACAGGGCTCCCAGAGGCGAAGGGCTTTCCTAACCACGCTACATCCCCCAGCTCATCGCAAGCCTCCCAGGGAGGAGCAGACAGGGACCAGGCCTGGGGCCCCAAAGCCAGACCTCCTTCCTCTGCTCGAGAACCCTGGGTGAAGCCCATGAAACTCCTTCCAGCTCTAAGTCCCCATTGTCCAGAAAACAGAAGCCTCCCCACATAAGGATCTGTCACGCCTTAGCCCACAGTGGGCAATCCCAGGGCTGGTCATGTAAGGTGGCACGGGTACAGCTAGGGCACTGAAGGAGTTTCCATCGGAACCAACATCGAGGAAGACAATTGGAGCTGGAGGTGAGAGCTTTGCGCCCCTGGGACCTGGCTAATTCTAGGCCCCAGAGTTATGGAGCCCAAGGTTGACTTGATGTCAGAGATCGGGGATCAGGCAAGAGCAGCCCCAAGAGCAGGACTGCCATGCCTTGCACTGGCGGTTGTATCCCCAGAGCCTGGAACTGCCAGCCAGAGCTGGTGCTCATTAAACAGGGGGCGAACCTCTTCCAAGACCAGGCTGCTTGAGCTCTTGTTACCAGGGAGCCCTCGGGGCTTAGGACGGAAACTTCCAGGTGGGTTGGGGCTGGGGGATTCATTCAGGCCCCCAGGCCCAACTGTCTTCCTCAGTCACCGTGGACATCAAAATCCAGCCTTAGGTGAGTGGGCAGAGAGCACGTGAGGATCACGAGAGGCTTCAGGGGCCCTGTCCACAGAGGACTCGTCAGTCTACACATTGTCTAGTGCACAACACACACCACACCAGGCACAAGGCAAGAGAAAATGGGTGAGCTGTGCACCCAGCCTCTTCGGCAAATGGAAGGGTAGGAAAGAAAAGCACCAGCAAGTTCTAGCCTCAAATGTAAGGAACAGAAACCAGGAGACGTGGGCCTGACCTGGAACTTCAAGGAATGCAAGAGCACAGACCTCCCGTGTCTGGCTTCCTTTCTTGGCAGCTCACTTGTGAGTCATGGTAGCTGCGCTTCACTTCTGTTGTAGAACAGGAATTTGGTAAGCACCACAACTCAGGTTTTCATGGTACTGCAGGTGAACACCTGCCTTTCCACTGTGGGGCCAGTAGGGCTGACACTGCACTGGCACCTGTGTGTCCCTGTGCACACGTGCCTGTGTGGTCCTGAGGGCCATATGGGGGGGACCGCCACTCACCCGGACATCAGGCCAGGCAGTGGACAGCACCACGTGGCTGACTGCCACACTGACCCAGGCTCACCTACGCCAGCCACACATGCCGACTCACCACCCCATGTCCTCGCCACGCAGTGGACAGCCACACTCATTGTCCCCACTCTGAAGGGAGAGCAGCGGTATCGCACAGTAGCTTTAATTTCCTTTTCCTTCATGGCCCCTGGGACTGCACTTGGACTCAGCCTTTTACCTTCGAGGTTTCTCTGCACAGTTCAGC